CTCAATTTTGTGGAGTTTTTTTCCCTGGCAATAGAAAACTAGGGACTATTCAATTTATTCTCGTAGGCCTGCTAGCCCGGATAACCAAACTAGACAAAGACATGGCTGGAAAATTGCAGACCCATTTCACTCCTTAACATAGACTTTAAAACTTAAACAAAATAGCAGTAGTGTACAAAATGCAATAGTGTACCAATAGTGTGCAAAAAAATAATACCCCCAAACCAGGTGTGGTTTATCTCAGGTGTGTAAGGATTTACTTTGGTTTTAATTTTTTTAATGTTTATTTTCTGAAAGAGGGAAAGACTGAGTGCAAGCAGTGGGGGGACAGAGAGATGGGGAGACACAGAATGTGAAGCAGGCTCCAGGCTCTGAGCTGTCAGAGCAGAGCCCGACGTGGGACTCGAACTCCATGAACCGTGAGATCATGACCTGAGCCGAAGTCAGGCAGCAAACCGACTGAGCCACCCAGGCACCCTCTAAGGATTTAATACTAGAAAGTCCCTAAATGAAGTTCCAGAGTCATCACATTAATAGATTAAAAGAAAAAAAATTATCATTTCAATAGCTACAGAAACAATATTTTACAAATCACTTTTCCGTGATATATTTTTGTTAATGAGGAAGGAAAGGAACTCTTCTAAACTGATAAAGAGTAGCTGTTAAAAAACAAACATGATATAGGGAAACATTAGAAGCACTTCCTTTATTTATTTATTTATTTTTTAATTTATTTTTTTTTTTCAACGTTTATTTATTTTTGGGACAGAGAGAGACAGAGCATGAACGGGGGAGGGGCAGAGAGAGAGGGAGACACAGAATCGGAAACAGGCTCCAGGCTCTGAGCCATCAGCCCCGAGCCGACGCAGGGCTCGAACTCACGGAGCGCGAGATCGTGACCTGGTTGAAGTCGGACGCTTAACCGACTGCGCCACCCAGGCGCCCCTAGAAGCACTTCCTTTAAAATCCGAGACAAAGATGCCCATTATCATTAATGTGTATTTAACGTTGTATTGACAGTCCTAAGCAGAAGACAGAAGAAATTAGGAGCACAAGAATTGGAAAGGAGGGAATAAGATTTTATTATCTGCAGATGATATAACATTTACATAGAAAACAGAAACTTCTACAAATTATTAGAAAAAATTATGTAAAGAAAGGTAATTATGTAAACTTATATGTAAATTTTATCCAAGTGACTGGATAAAAGATTAATGAAAGTCATTTGTATTTCTGTATATATGCAAAAACTACTAAAAATCATAAATAGAAAGCATCACAGTAATATCAAAATCTGCTTTAGAAATTCTAACACAAATACGTTAGATCTTTTTTTTTTTTTTTAATTTTTTTTAACGTTTATTTATTTTTGAGACCGGGAGAGACAGAGCATGAACGGGGGAGGGTCAGAGAGAGAGGGAGACACAGAATCTGAAACAGGCTCCAGGCTCCGAGCTGGCAGCACAGAGCCCGATGCGGGGCTTGAACTCACGGACCGTGAGATCATGACCTGAGCCGAAGTCCAACGCTTAACCGACTGAGCCACCCAGGCGCCACGACAAATATGTTAGATCTTTAAAGGGAAACACAATTTTACTAAAAGTAATTAAATAACTAATAGAGAAATATATGATGTTAATGATTGGAAAACAATTTGATCTGTATATTAAATGTAGTTTCATTCAGAATCCCAACAGGGATTTTGACGGAACTTGATAAGTTGATACTAATCACATGTACATGATTCCATATGAATATGGAAGAGTTAAGGGGGCAGGGATGCAAACTGGTGCAGCCACTGTGGCATAGAGAATGGAGGTTCCTGAAAAAGTTAAAAATAGAATTATCCTCTGATCCAGTAATTGCCTTACTGGGTGTTTACCCCCGAAATACAAAAACATTAATTCAAAGGGATACATGTTCCCCTATGTTTATTGCAGCATTATCTACAATTGCCAAATTATGGAAGCAGCCCAGGTATCCATCAATAGATGAGTGGATAAAGAAGATTGGTATTTATACACAATATATTGGAATATTATTCAGCTATAAAGAAGGGAAATCTTGCTATTTGCAACAACATGGATGGAGCTAGAGAGTATAATGCTAAGCGAAATAAGTCAGAGAAAGCCAAATACCATATGCTTTCACCAATGTGGAATTTGAGAAACAAAACAATCGTAGGGAAAAAAAGAGACTAAGAAACAGAGTCTTGTAGAGAAACTATAAAACTGATGGTTACCAGAGCGGAGGAGGGTGGGGGGGTGGGTGAAATAGGTGATGGGGATTAAGGAGTACACTTACCATGATGAGCACTGAGTAATGTATAGAATTGTTGAATCAGTGTATTGTACACATGAAACTAATAGAACACTGTATATTAACTGTACTAGAATTTACATTGAAAACTCAAAAAGGTAGAGCGCCAAGAATATCTGGTCACTTCTGAAAAAGAATAGGGAGGAGGTGGAGTGGGAAAAAAACAGGGAGAAGACTTGATTAACCGGATAGACTCATTGTAAGATAGGAATTAAAACAGTGTTAAATAAGCACTAGAAAGATTGATCATTGGGAATGTGAGGGATGAGAAGATTGATAAATGGAATAGAGAACTTGTAAACATCCATTTTGTAAAATTCTGTATATTGAGGTCTAATGGGCAAAAAATTACTGTGTGGGGACTTCAGAACTCTTTTGAGTTGAAATCTTGACTCTAGTAGTTCACTAAATTGTGTTATCTTGTGTTATCTCTTGCCTTGGATGTAAAACAAAGGCAGTAATATTGTGTATGTCAGAGGATTATTAAGTGGGTTAATGTATGTGTCTGGTATAGAGTAAGCTCTGTGTGAGTCTGCCATTTGTTTTGATTATCTAAACCACAACTTAGTTAAAACAACAGCCATTTTATTTATTTATTCTGTGGTCTGAGTTGAATGGTTCTTCACTTGTCTGCCTGCAGCTGTAGTCAGGTGACAGCTGGTGTTAGAATGTCCCATGATATGTGGTGCTTTGGAGGGAATGGCTGGAAGGCTGGGCTCAAATGGACAATTGATACTCTCCACTTGGTCCTTTTGTGTGATCTCCAGTAGAGGAGTCAGATTTTAGAGGCCTCCAAAAGCACAAAAAATGAAGCTGCGAGGCTTGGAATTGGCACATTATCTCACTTGCGCTGTATTGTTTTGATTGATGTGGTTCATTGGGAACCATTTTTGGAGACCATCCACACTGTTACTATTTTTTTCTTTTAAGATTTTAGTTTTAGGTGTAGACCCATCATGGGGCTCGAACTTAAAACCCCAAGATCAAAAGTTGGGTGCTCCACCAACTGAGCCAGCCCCCACGCTCCCTTCCACACTGTTATTGATATTTGTATACATCATGTTGCTTTACAGTGTGTATAATTGTCAGTTTAGGCACCAAGGATTTATTAATGAACAAATACAAAAACTTGCTCCTTGTGTTTTACATGGTAAGTGCTTAAAATGTATAGTGACCAGGACAGTAAAGAAAAATAAGGCAGGGAAGGAGATAGGGAATACTGGGGGTTGGGAGTTGTGGTTTTAAAAATGGGTAGTCATGGAAGGCTTCCCTGGTAAACTGACATTTGAGCAGATGAAAGGAGGAGATTAGGAGCTAGTGGGGCAAGGGTGGAAGCAAGAAAACTGGAGGGCAGTGCAGTTGAGAGGTAGGTCATTTGGATTAGTGCAGTAATAATGGAAGTGGTGAGAAATGGTTAGATTTTGGATATATTTTGAAGATACAGCTTTATAATTTATTTATGAACTGGGTGTGGAGTGAAAGAAAAAGGAATCAAGGATGGCTTGGAGGTCATTGACCTGAGCAACTGAAAGGATAGAGTTGCCATTTGCTGAAATGGAGAAAGCTACAAGGACTGGCAGGTTTTGGAGAGATCAGGATTGGTGTTTTATGTATAAGGTTTGAAATGCTAATTAAAAGCTAGCTGCTTTAAAATTGTAAATTATGCTTCTATCCTGTCTGACTTCCCATTCTGTTGCAAGGGAAGCAGATGGGGGAGGGAGGAATTCATATTTTATTGCAGTTGGTAAGTGTTCTTGTTCTCAGAAGATTGAGGAATCTTGTTGGTTTTAGCCAGAGTATTTGTCCTTTTTTCCAGTCCCCTTTCACCCTTCCCCTGATGTGGCTTGTTACTGATAAATGTCACTGATCGTTTATCACCTTTTTACTAAAAAAAGACCTGAAGATAAACAAGTTTGTTTAAAAGTTTATTTTTCCTCATAGCTTTTTCTTTTTTCTTTTTTTAAGGAGAGATGGTAGAAAGTGACAATTTTAACTAAACCTTACTCTCTCTTTCTCCAATTCATGCTGTATCTTTCCGTGATGATATATGTCCACCTTGGCTTAACCCATTTTGTAGGTATTTAGTTGCTATGCTCTTTGGGTTTGGCACATGTTAAAAGCTGCTTTAACTGATGCTGAGTATTTTGATTCTCACTGTCCTGTGGTTCCTTGCCAAGACATGTTTCAACATGTTGTAAAGGTTTTTCTTGATGTGCTCTTGGCATCTTAAATCTATTACTTAATCTTGGTAATTCCCCCAGCTCCACAACTGTTGTCTTCCAGGGGGTGCTCTTGAGCACTGTCCAAAGAGAGGAGGAGTTACTGAAACTCTGATATGCATTGGGGAGGTGATGATTGTAAATTTGACTTTCAGCTAAAACAGTTTACTCATTATCATCACTGTGGGGGTTGGAGCATGCCTAAACCTGTTTCAGGCTTCACCTGAGGGAAGCATAGATGGTTCTTACTCTTAATTAGACTCTTCAGTTGTTTGCAGGATCTGAACTTAGGAAGTGATCAGAAGGGTATCAAGAACCTCATTATGGATATATTGCATTTCTGTAGGGCGCTCTGATACAGGTGTCTTTTTCCTTCTGCTGGCTGCTATTTTGTAAATCTTAAAAGAGAAAATTTTCTACTTTAGAAGAGGTTTCATCATGTTTTTTTTTTTTCCCTTTTAGATTTATCAACAGACTGCAATTCTTCACTGCCAAAATGACATCATTTTCCACCTCTGCCCAGTGTTCAACTTCTGACAGTGCTTGCAGGATCTCTGCAGAACAAACCAATCAGGTAAATCATATTTAAACCATTTCTAGTTTTCAAAAATCTGAATTGGGGCATGTAGGTGACTTTACTGACTGAAGGATTTTATGTAGAGCAGAAAGGGTTATTTTTTAAAATGTCTTATTAGGGAAACTAGTGAATGGTATCAGTGTTCAAAATTCGAATTGATCATTGATTAAGTAAATGTATAGAGGTTACAGATTGTTCAAAATATGGTACCTTTTGAAAATTACTGTGTTTTACGGTATGGGTGGCCAGTGGAGAATTTGGGGCCAAGATATATGTTTAGTTTCTGTTTCTCTCACTTCATTTTAACCGGTCTGTTTTCTTTAAAAATCAATTTTAAATTGCAACTAAAATATTGCAAATGTATTCTTATAAAATATTCAGTTTTCTAATGTATTTATCTATAAAGTATTTATCTGTAGGGACTCCTTGACCATGTCTTCCCTTCTTCCCCCAAAGTCCCTTCCCTCTGAGATAACACTTTGGTGTGTCTTGTTCCAGATCTTTTCCTTTAACATATAAAAAGACTTAATTTTGTGTTTTATTTTCATAAATATTGCACAATATGTAGTATTATGTACCTCAGTACATGATAAAGGTGGAATTTGGGTTTGGTGGGGGAAGATGTGGCTTATGTAGTAAATGGTTTCGATGTAATTGTCCATCTCTGGAAGGAATCGAATGAAGACCTCAAACTTTGTGCAAAAACAAATCCCAGGTAGATAAAGATTAAACGTAAAAAGTAAAATAATATTAGAAGAAAATTTAGGAAATGCGTGTGAAACTTTAGGATGACGGAGGCCTTCAGTAAAACAAAACCAAAGAGGTGGTGAGAGGACGAGAGAGACAAATTTGACCCTAAAAGTTTTATTTTTTTTAAAAAAAAATTTTTTTTTTTAACGTTTTATTTATTTTTGAGACAGAGAGACAGAGCATGAATGGGGGAGGGGCAGAGAGAGAGGGAGACACAGAATCGGAAGCAGGCTCCAGGCTCTGAGCCATCAGCCCAGAGCCCGACGCGGGGCTCGAACTCGCGGACCGCGAGATCGTGACCTGAGCTGAAGTCGGCCGCTTAACCGACTGAGCCACCCAGGCGCCCCCCCTAAAAGTTTTAAAATAAAATTGTGTGGCTGAAGATAGACTCTGCAGTCAGTCAAGGGATGTCAGAGTCACTGTCCCTTATATGTATATACCACATCTTGTTTGTCTGTTCACCTGTCATATCTGTTCACCTGTGAACACTGGTGTACAAATACTTGTTTGAGTCTTGCTCTCAGTTCTGGGTTCGTATGTAGCAGTGGAACTGCTGGGTCATATGGTAATTCAGTGTTTAATTTTTTGAGGACCTGCCAGACTGTTTTCCACAGCAGCTGAGCCATTTTACATTCTCACCAGCAGTGCACAGTGGTTCCAGTTTTTCCACATCCTTGCCAATGTGGAAGGCTGTTTTTTCCCTTTTTTCTTTTTCTTATGGCTGTGCTAGTAGGTGTGAATGTCCTGTCTTTTGAAAATGTGATTTTTCAGGAAGGTAACAAGTAGTAGTCTGATTAGCTGCAGTTACTTTATATATTGGAAGGTTGTATGTGATTAGATGATAAGTATTTCTACCAGAGTTTGTAAACAAACAAAAAAATATTTAAGGAGGTTTTCTTATTCCTTAGGGTTTCAGAAACCAATTTAATTGAAATGTAAATAGCAGGTTTATTTTGTTTCTGTCAGGTACGACCAAAACTGCCACTTTTGAAGATTTTGCAGGCAGCAGGTGCACAAGGTGAAATGTTCACTGTTAAAGAGGTAAGCCATCAAAGAAAATTCTCAGTTGTAAGAACAGCTAAGAAGTAGAAGCTGACGAATATATAGTTCTGAAATCAGGCCTAAGAAAGCAAATTCTACTTCTGAGGTGCTAGAGAGGCAACTTTTTCTTTATATTAAAGATCATCGAGCTAAATTGAATTTCATTATTTCCTTTAAATTTCCTTTTGAAAAAAAAATTTTTTTTCAACGTTTTTTATTTATTTTTGGGACAGAGAGAGACAGAGCATGAACGGGGGAGGGGCAGAGAGAGAGGGAGACACAGAATCGGAAACAGGCTCCAGGCTCCGAGCCATCAGCCCAGAGCCCGACGCGGGGCTCGAACTCACGGACCGCGAGATCGTGACCTGGCTGAAGTCAGACGCTCAACTGACTGTGCCACCCAGGCGCCCCTAAATTTCCTTTTGAAGTGTGTTGTCAGCCAAACCTAAAATTAACCATGAATTCATTGATCTCAGAGTTAAAATGCAAAGCGTGTACAAGCTTTAAAAAATGACACTGTCTATGATTTATAGGATATACTGCCAGGCAGGAATTAAATGCAGTAGTTTTCCATTATAAATGTGTCAGATACTCTTCTGAGCACTGTGAGTTACTTTAAACACTTATGCATTTAAATAACTTATTTAGCATCTAAAGGTTTTTTTTTTCTTAAGAAAAACAAATTGAATTCCTTAAGTGGAAAAACTCAATATTAAAATGTTAATCTCTTTGAACTGCTTACATTTAGTAGGGTAAAAATCTAACCTTTTCTAATTGGAGGAAACAAAACTATCAAGCTTTTTTTTGACTTTTTTGAAAAGCTTAAGACCTACTAGCAACACTGCATTCCTGAGCTGTTACAGTTTTCTTTTTTTTTTAAATTTTTTAATGTTTATTTAGTTTTGAGAGAGA